ACTACAGCTGGATGTGACAGAATAAAGCTGGAGGGTCGTCATCACTACAGTCTAAGGGGGCACAGACTGTTGCTTGGGGGACGTCATCACTACAGCTGGATGTGACAGAATAAAGCTGGAGGGTCGTCATCACTACAGTCTAAGGGGGCACAGACTGTTGCTTGGGGGACGTCATCACTACAGCTGGATGTGACAGAATAAAGCTGGAGGGTCGTCATCACTACAGTCTAAGGGGGCACAGACTGTTGCTTGGGGGACGTCATCACTACAGCTGGATGTGACAGAATAAAGCTGGAGGGTCGTCATCACTACAGTCTAAGGGGGCACAGACTGTTGCTTGGGGGACGTCATCACTACAGCTGGATGTGACAGAATAAAGCTGGAGGGTCGTCATCACTACAGTCTAAGGGGGCACAGACTGTTGCTTGGGGGACGTCATCACTACAGCTGGATGTGACAGAATAAAGCTGGAGGGTCGTCATCACTACAGTCTAAGGGGGCACAGACTGTTGCTTGGGGGACGTCATCACTACAGCTGGATGTGACAGAATAAAGCTGGAGGGTCGTCATCACTACAGTCTAAGGGGGCACAGACTGTTGCTTGGGGGACGTCATCACTACAGCTGGATGTGACAGAATAAAGCTGGAGGGTCGTCATCACTACAGTCTAAGGGGGCACAGACTGTTGCTTGGGGGACGTCATCACTACAGCTGGATGTGACAGAATAAAGCTGGAGGGTCGTCATCACTACAGTCTAAGGGGGCACAGACTGTTGCTTGGGGGACGTCATCACTACAGCTGGATGTGACAGAATAAAGCTGGAGGGTCGTCATCACTACAGTCTAAGGGGGCACAGACTGTTGCTTGGGGGACGTCATCACTACAGCTGGATGTGACAGAATAAAGCTGGAGGGTCGTCATCACTACAGTCTAAGGGGGCACAGACTGTTGCTTGGGGGACGTCATCACTACAGCTGGATGTGACAGAATAAAGCTGGAGGGTCGTCATCACTACAGTCTAAGGGGGCACAGACTGTTGCTTGGGGGACGTCATCACTACAGCTGGATGTGACAGAATAAAGCTGGAGGGTCGTCATCACTACAGTCTAAGGGGGCACAGACTGTTGCTTGGGGGACGTCATCACTACAGCTGGATGTGACAGAATAAAGCTGGAGGGTCGTCATCACTACAGTCTAAGGGGGCACAGACTGTTGCTTGGGGGACGTCATCACTACAGCTGGATGTGACAGAATAAAGCTGGAGGGTCGTCATCACTACAGTCTAAGGGGGCACAGACTGTTGCTTGGGGGACGTCATCACTACAGCTGGATGTGACAGAATAAAGCTGGAGGGTCGTCATCACTACAGTCTAAGGGGGCACAGACTGTTGCTTGGGGGACGTCATCACTACAGCTGGATGTGACAGAATAAAGCTGGAGGGTCGTCATCACTACAGTCTAAGGGGGCACAGACTGTTGCTTGGGGGACGTCATCACTACAGCTGGATGTGACAGAATAAAGCTGGAGGGTCGTCATCACTACAGTCTAAGGGGGCACAGACTGTTGCTTGGGGGACGTCATCACTACAGCTGGATGTGACAGAATAAAGCTGGAGGGTCGTCATCACTACAGTCTAAGGGGGCACAGACTGTTGCTTGGGGGACGTCATCACTACAGCTGGATGTGACAGAATAAAGCTGGAGGGTCGTCATCACTACAGTCTAAGGGGGCACAGACTGTTGCTTGGGGGACGTCATCACTACAGCTGGATGTGACAGAATAAAGCTGGAGGGTCGTCATCACTACAGTCTAAGGGGGCACAGACTGTTGCTTGGGGGACGTCATCACTACAGCTGGATGTGACAGAATAAAGCTGGAGGGTCGTCATCACTACAGTCTAACAGGGCACACAGACTGTTGCTTGGGGGACGTAATTACTACAGCTGGATGTGACAGAATAAAGCTGGAGGGACATCATCACTACAGTCTAAGGGGGCACAGACTGTTTCTTGGGGGACATCATTACTACAGCTGGATGTGACAGAATAAAGCTGGAGGGACGTCATCACTACAGTCTAACGGGGCACAGACTGTTTCTTGGGGGACATCATTACTACAGCTGGAAGTGACAGAATAAAGCTGGAGGGACGTCATCACTACAGTCTAACAGGGCACAGACTGTTTCTTGGGGGACGTCATTACTACAGCTGGATGTGACAGAATAAAGCTGGAGGGACGTCATCACTACAGTCTAACAGGGCACACAGACTGGCTTGGGGGACGTCATTACTACAGCTGGAAGTGGTACAGAATAAAGCTGGTGGGACATCATTACTACAGTCTAACAGGGCACAGACTGTTGCTTGGTGGACATCATTACTACAGCTGGAAGTGGTACAGAATAAAGCTGGAGGGACGTCATCACTACAGTCTTAACGGGGCATAGACCGTTGCTTGGGGGACGTCATCACTGCAGCTGGATGTGACAGAGTAAAGCTGGAGGGACGTCATCACTACAGTCTAAAAGGGACAGACTGTTGCTTGGGGGACGTCATCACTACAGCTGGAAGTGGTACAGAATAAAGCTTGAAGGATGCCATCACGACAGTCACATGTGGCACAGACTGTAGCTTGCAGGACGTCAACACTATGGTCAGGTTCAACTGCAGTTTGGATGGAGTTTAAATTAAATTTGCCCATAAAACGGTTAAGAGCATGGAGGAGGTCTGCACTCCATTCAGACAAATCACCAACTAAATCTTGGAATACGTCATCGCTGGTGATTGGCTCCTCCAGTGTTAGGTCGTTGCTAAGGTCATTATCAACTTCAAGGAGACCACTGATAGGTTCCTCCAGAGAGAAATCTTCACTGCAGTTATCATCTATAACTTCTTGACCTGAGCAATAAAGTGAACCAATTTATAGTTTTATTCAAATAATATTTATTAAATATTTACTAAACAATTATAATGGATACTCATATTCCTCCAACTAAGCTTGCTGTAAATTACGAAGTGACTTTTTGGGCGTACTGCTTTCTACTTTGGTCAATGTGTAGGCCTACTGCTTGAATGTGTTTGCTTTTGCTTGCACCAAGAGCATTGTTTTTAAATAGGGGAACTGTTAAAAATAGTCAAACATTTAAAAATGTGCTTTGACAGCTCTTACATCTACCATTGAGTTGCGTGTGAATATTAATTAGGTCATCCAATCATTTAATGTAACTTAATAAATATTGTGTGATTTAGATCTTTTCAGCCATTAATTTAAGTGTTATTACATTGAACTAAAACATCACATAATGTAATTAATATTCATGCCGGAATTCACCTTGCGAGGTAATAAGTTTGTTTTTGTGTAAATGCATCAAAACAAAAACTTGTTTTATTTCCATGTACTTTTGTGTTGAATGTATTTTGATGATGATAAGTGGCTCAGTCTGCAACTGTAAAAGAGTTACATATTCTCATAACATGGACATATTTTCCATCACGACTCTTCACAGGTGGTACATTCACCTCGAACTGAGTGGGTGTTGTTGACTGTTTTTCTTTTCTCTCTGAATAAAGCAATTACTCTGAGTAAAGAAAAAAGTACCATTTTGAATTTGTAACTATTATTGGCTGCAAGATGTGTAAAGTGAACACTGGAGCGCAACTAGCAACTTATGCCGAGTTCACACTGCACGATTTTCAAAGACGTCGCATCACTGTTGGTTTCACACTGAACAACTATCTGGGGTAGCATTCAGTTGTTGCTGTGTTCACACTGCACGATGGAACGACGACAGGAGGTTACACACTGCATGACTTTACAATAGGAAGAATCGCCGACAGCTCTGTCTGGTGCGGGGCTGCCGGGTTTTCGCTACAAAACCCGCCCAATTACTACTCAAAACTAGCCTGAAAATAGCCCAATTGCTTTCGAGGGGTCCCCCAGTAAATATCGCATTGGGGGGTAAAATACAATTTTTTTTGCCGGGGTTCTCTTGGTACAATTCACATTCCAGGGCCTAAATATCAAGTTATTGGGGTCGCTTCAACCTGCTGACATAAAAAACAACCGGC